TTTCCCCCCCAGAAATGAAAGATGCTTCAATATCTTAATTAAAATCCTATCTATTCAGATCATCCATGGTTTATTTAGTTGGAATCATTTTCTCGAGCTGCTGAAACATGGTCCACAGGTTGAGTGACTTTAAACAACAGCCATTTATTCTCTCCCAGTTCTAGAGTCTCCCTCCCTGCCACGGACTCCATCCTGACTCATGGCCGCCCTACAGGGCGGGGGAGAACGGCCCCTGGATTTTCTAAGACATTCACATTTTAGGAGCGGGAATCCTCAGCCGGTGGTTTTGAACCGTTGACCTCACTCATAACCACAATGCCACCAGTGTCTCTAATTCTAAAACCATGGTGTGGGGGTTGCCGATTCCTTCTGAGAACTCCAAGGAGACATCTTTCCCATGACTCTTTACTTGCATCTGGTGACAGCTGGTGAGCCTTGGCATTTCTTGGCTGATAGGGCTCTGCTCCCATCCTTCATCTGCATTCTCACTGCGTCGGTACCTCCTTCCTTCCACTCGATGCCCTAGACAAAGCCCAGCCCACTGCAGCATAACCTGTTACCCAATAACATTTCTAGATAAGGTCACATTCACAATACCAGGGGTTAGGGTTTGACTATTTTGGGGGTGGGTTGGAGGGTGCAAAACAATAAATAATGTAGTAGTTACTTAAATGTTGGTAGGAAACAGGCTTGAGTGAGACTTCTCATCTCACAAAGTGGATACTGAATGCTACACCTGATGTGATCAAGGTCATCCCAGAAACTGATGAAATTAGAAACCAGTGCAAGTGCAGCACTCAGCTGTGTGGATCAGAACAAACTATGGCCCTCATCACAAAGCACGAGGGGTTCATTATGCTGGAACCTGTACATGGACTAAGAGGCAGTTGGTCAACTAGAACAAAGGTTTAAAATCAGGAAAAGTGAGTCAGTGGTATAGCCTTTCACCATACTTATTCAACCTCTGTGCTGAGCAGAGAATACCAGAAGTTGGACTACAGTGAACCCACGTTTATCGCGGTTAATCGGTTTTAGACCCTACCGTGATAAATGAAATTCCGCGAAGTAGGATTCCTTATTTGTAAATCAAATATTTTCGTAGTTAGAGCATAGAGGACATGAAAA